CCCCACCCTATATATCTTCATCATCATGTCTACGTTGCTGCTGTTGCTTATCCAGCTTGATAAGGTCATCAATGCGAAGGATAGTTATTGCAGCCTCGGTTGCAAATTTCAAGCACTTCACTTTACTCACTAACGGTTCCAGCACACCTGCTTCCTTGTTATCACGTACCTCACCGTTTTCCAAATCTAAGCCAGCCCTGAACGGAACAAGTTTTAATGATTAGTAAAGGACACATTGGAACTATTTACAGAGTGCTTGCTCCAATAATATTCTGAAATCTCTGTCGACATTTTCTTTAGAAGTATTAGGGTTCCGTTTCTGTAAAGAGAGGGCATAATGCAGATCTCAAAATATGCCCTCTTCGGGACGGCACATATTTTGTTTTAGATCAATTTGCACCATACATAACGTTAAATGAATATTAAACTACAACAGACTGAATTTTATACAAATACATGACAAACCATTTAAGATGGGTAAGTTCTCTCATCTGTTGAGCTTTACTGTGGAATGCGCGCAATTTAGCCACCAACTCAGTTGAATCTTTTGCAGCATTTGTAGCAAGGACTTTAGGAATGATTAACAGCGCATTTGCGAATTCAGCCACCGCAAGCTGTTCTCGACTTGACTGAAAAACCAAAGTAGACAGTTATGTGTCAATTAAGAATATTGACAAATAGCATCAAATCAGATCTCAATGAGGCAGAACTATTTTGGGAACAAAAAATTACCAGAGTAGTAGCAAATGCCTCAAGATAGACATTGAGCCCTGCTTCTACTGCCCCACCACCGACAACCAATTTATTGCTTTCCAGTACTCGCTGAACAACACACAATGAATCATGTACTGATCGTTCCATCTCATCGAGCATTACATCATTTGGTCCGCTAAAAATTAAAATATTTGAGAGAATAAAAATTCTCAAACCCAACAGTATGCCTACAGCGTCATCAAAAAAATAAGAAAGCTAAATGTATAAGCCGAACACAATATTATGAAAATCCACCACCTTTTCCAGACTTGCACGAAATGGTAAGTGATGAAAACTAAGTGGTTACAGGTTCAAAGAATAATAACTATTTCTGTAATTGCATTAAAAAAGAAGCCTTGATTAGCTATTAGAAACAATATAAACTGAATTAATAAAAGAATTTTGGTACCGAAGAATGATCGAGGACGAAGTTCGTGTTTTTGATCCTCTGATAATTATGAGCTCATTATCTGAAATTCTTTCCTGAACTACTTCATCAGCTGTGCCGAGCTGAGATGGTTCGAAAGCTTCAATACCTTCCAATGTTGCCAAAGATGATATTAATGCAGCTGCAATACAGATAGTGTTAATTCCAGCACGGAGATGCAAGAAAATTAAGCTTTCAACACTTCTTCATCCCATTATTTATATTTAAAAGCTTATAATGCGCTCAATGACATTTTATTATACATATTTTCAGTTTCTACAAATATGATAAGCTTTACGTCCATTTATTTCTAATCATTGACGCAATATTTCTAGCATTTTTCTTGAGATGAATACTTTTACTGACCCGAAAAACACATCACAAGCCTGATTCTAAATTTTACACAAGAACCTTGACATATTCAAAAATAAAAGCTCGAAACTAAAAAGAAACAGTAAGAAGAAACCCAACACTGCTACAACTTTCACAAGAAAATACCTCCAGTGGCTCTGGAAATCCGCTTCAAATCAATTTTCTTGCATCGTCGAACAGCCATTGCCCCCGCTTCCACAAACTGTTTCAAACAAAAATCATCGATACCACCAGTAGTTAAAACAACATTCGCTCCAGCTTTCAAAATTTTGTCCACTCTCTGCTTTGTTATTTCAGATTCTCTGGAATTAAAAACAACTACAAATACCGAAACTTAATAAATAGAATCAGAATTCAAAAGAATTGGTTACAACTTTTTTGTAACCAAATATTTTCGACAAAAATGAAAAATAACATGAAGTGTAATTCAGAGAGGACGTGAAACGAGATCCGGAACAACAAAACTTACTCGCGGCGAAATGATTCTAATTTTAATGGGTCTTCAACTACGACAGATATTCCCAAATGCATTTTGACTTTTTGAAGCGAGAAGTCCAGACATGCAATTTTTGCATTGTGTATAACACGGGGCATAGCTAAACTAAATTACTTTTAACAAAAGTAGTGACTAAGCAATGGAAAAATGAGAAATTTCAGAGAAGAGGAACTATATGGTGAAAAGAAAACTATGTAAAATAGTGATTGAAACTATATTACTTTAATGAAAAGTAAAAAATATTACCTTGACTAGCAACAGTGCAGTTTAAAGCATAGCCTTTGATTAAAATACTTTCACGAACTGATTTTCCATGAGCTTTTAACACGTTAATATTCGTGACAGGGTAAGTGACCTTCCCCTGGCTATCTATAACTTTCGAGAGCTCAGCGGCTTCAACCACCATCTCGGAAAAAAATTCGGCATCTCTGTATAATTTCAGATTAAATCAATTATACCATGTCAGTATTTTCAAAATTGAAATAAATAGTTTTACAAATGGCATGAAAGAAAAAATTAAGAACTTTAAATCGAAAACTAAGCAAGAAAGACAGAATAAACACATACGGTCCAATGACTTTTGAAGACATTGCAGTTTTAGCAGTACCAAGAATAGAATGCCGACCAATATCCTTAGATCCGAATGATAAATTATCCTGAAGTAAATTAGCACTAAAGAGAATACAATACCGTAATTTTTTGCAACTAGAGAAAGTAAATACAAATAAAAAAGATCGACTCGCAGATCAATTCAAAAACTCTAGTTTATTTGCACTTCATGAACACTTGAGAATATTCATTCCCATGTTGTATCGAAATGTTGCACATGTCTGCTCTTAAACAAAACGATGAAAGCTTTACACCACTCTGAGTAAAGTGAAATCCTGACTGTGCACATTAATTTTACACAAATTATAAGTGAAAAATATATTCATATATTTATGATTCGCAATTCAAAAATTTTAAACACCTGCATATACCGCACAGATTCTTTACAAGCCAAACGATATCCATTGATAACAGTTGTGGGGTGTATACGTTGTTTGACCAACATATCGGCACATTTCAGTAACTCTGCTGCCACAATAACCACTGATGTTGTCCCATCACCAACCTTATAATAAAGCTTAATTTAAAAAAATTTCATTAGCAACTACAGCACAAAACTTCCATACAAGCTAGATAATAATTCATTCTTCATGGAATAATACCTCTTCATCTTGTAACTGAGCCAATTCGACGAGAACTTTCGCTGCGGGATGCTCAACCTCCATTAACTTGAGAATAGTCGCACCGTCATTTGTTACTGTTACATCCTAAACGTTAATTATGAAACAGCTTTCTTTGCGATAAACAGTGCATGATTAGTAGCAAATATTCCTCTCACCATGCACAAATAAAAATTAACAGCTGATGGGATGAATAACAGTAAAATTTTACGCATTTATAGTCTGAAAAAGTACTCGAACTGAGTATACAGCAAATACGAAAAATTTTATGCAGTCAGACTAAGCACTTTAATCACAACATTCTTGAGTCTATGCAATATGTTCACTAGCAGAAAACGGTAGAAAAAATGAGTACAACTCACTCCAACTTCATCAACAAGCATTTTATCAAGTCCAACTGGTCCCAAAGACGATTTCACAATGTTCGCAACAGCTGATGCTGCCATGACTGAAAGGATGCTAGTTTTTTACTAAGAAATTAGAGTTCTTCAGAGTTTTCTGACCAATTCTCAGGCCGTAACAATGACAAAAAACTGGAGCTGGCTTACTCCTTAATAAAGATTTTTCGTCTGTATTCATAATAAACATTTAAAAAAGGCTAGAAAATGCTAAAAGACCATTTTGTGTTCGAATTGATTGTCCAGTAGTACGTTGGCCCATAACGGCAAGTAAACCTTCACCACCAGCAGCCATTCTTGCTAACAGACTATAACGAATTGACCTTAATATATCAACATTTATTTGCATAAAAGTTATAAGTCTTCATCAAAACTTTTACTTACCATATCCACACACAATCAAATACAAAAAGACGCAACACAACAATCCCAACCAACTTCAAAATCTACCACAATAAAATTCTATCATCTCTTAACTTATATTCCCATTCACAAGCGTTCTCGTAACGATACCACCTTTCACAAAATCAAGTCATTGTGAAAAAATTTGTCTCTGGCAACTGTCATGGAACCGTTTAATGATCAATGCCTTAAATTGTGGGCATGGTATTTAGCAGCTTACCCTTCATTACATTGATGATATGCACGGTTAGCTTCTTGAACACATGTATTTCATTCACTTAGAACGCTAACCACATTTGATATGGAAGACTTTATCATCATCGGTTTATTGTTCACTTCATGCAATCATTTTTAGAAGCTCTATGAAAGTCCGGTATGTTACAATGACTTTATTGCTATTCCGTACGGTACCAAAACTTGAGGGGTTTGAATACAAGTCACTTTTGAAAATGTCCACTGAAGAGGAGCACTACTTGTCACCGAAATGTGTTAATGGAATCAAATGGATTATGGATGTAATACTGCTTTAATCATTTTGTTGCATTTTCATTGTGCTAGCGGGTTATTATGTTTTAGTATAAAATGCACTATGAACATAGTGCATTTTATACTAAAAGATTTGGAACAATCCTATATTTTTGTTGTCTTTTCTAAAATTATTTTGGATACGTATTGTACATCCGAGAGACTCAAGCATGTTCTCCAGTCTGATTGGTGTTATTTAGCTGCTACAAGCAGAGCTTTCATTAAAGTATGGAATTTGAGTGCTTATGACAAAATTACTGATAGGAAGATGTGAATGAATAAACCACTTACATGATATTTTTAAAGCATCCAATTGGCGCATTATTTATAGGTATTCGGTGATTGTGTCGATACAGATTTAAAGTTTTTCGGTTTTGTCATTGGATTCATATCACTCTTTTTATGGCTTTTACCATTAATTCCTCAACTTTTGCATAACTACCGTACCAAGCGTTGTGAAGGCCTTTCTATGTATTTCCTCCTTTTTTGGTAAGATATATCTTACGAATTTACATTCCTTGTGTTGTTTTCAGTTAAGCTATAATATAGAAATTAAATTCATTATTTTTTAGATTATTTAACATTGACTATTTAAGTTGCATATTTCTGTTAAATTGTTACTAGTTGAAATAACAAAGTAAAAGCCTATTTCATCAGCTCAGATGAACAGAATTTATTATTTGATTTATGTTTTTGTAGGATTCTTGGAGATTCGTGCAATATGGCTGGAGCGTTACTTACAAATCAACAACCTCTTCAAAAAATTATAGGCGTTTATTATGTGTTACAGGTAGGATCCTTTACAAAATTTTATCTACCGCTATTAAAATATTGAATAAACTTTTATACCATCTGATTTCAGGATATGACTCTCCTTTTTCAGTATTTTTATTACACCCGCATATATCGTAGAAATGAAGGTATATTTTGTAACCGTTCTAACTTTTTCTGTGCAGTAAATAACTGTGCATCTATCATGGTAGTATTTTTCATGAAAATTCTAATCAAGCAATTACCAGTTCCTTACAAATGAGATTTTTTCAATGAAAAAAAATAATTGGACTCATATTAGGTTGTGTTCTAATAAACAGCCGTTACTTGCAGTACATATTACTCCATTAATAAACTCAACAGCGATAGTACCAAGTATTTTTGTTGGCCTTTTCGTGATTGGAGCGCTATTCTCAAATAAGATTTCATCAAATTCATTACGTCATCGTCCAACTCATGAAACACTACCAGGAAATAGAAGACTACTTTCTATTGAACTCGGTGGACAACCGTTGTTTCACGGTTACTATGATGTGGTTTGAATTTTCTACATAACTTTCATAACAAGCACAGTTTTTAGGCATAGAATTGTTGATGTTATGATCTCGTGCGAGCAAAAAGCGTGATCATAGTTCTAGCCTCATTGTTTTTTCAGCTTGGCTATGTAATAGGTTCTGTATCTGCGACATGTTATTTTGCTAGTCGAATTCCTCAGTTACTTAAGAATTATTACCGTCAGTCTTGTGAAGGTATTTCTTTTTCTTGATATGGGAATTTCAAGTTAGTTGACCATAACAGTACTAGTTTGAAAATTGATGCTTAGAAACAAAGTTTCAGAGTAAATTTCGTTTCCAAGCATTTTTAACTTGTCGTTTTAATAAAGAATTTATTTCCTTCAATTCCGTACATGTTTTCTATCAAAATGATCGTGATCAATCACTGTTCTAACCATTTTGGTCAATAGTTTTACTATATGATTTCAGGTTTGTCATTGGTCATGTTTTACATTATTATAGGAGCAAATGTTGCATATGGACTATCTGTAAGTTTTTATTTGTTTGTGAGGCAAACTATTCAGTAAATGGTTGCTAGATTTGTTTTTCGTTATGATTTTGTTGGTTAATCGTTATACTCTGAAAATAATTCGGAACGTTTGTTTTTGCCTACCAAGTTTGAAATACACTTTAGATAATTTCTGTGTCATTTATCTACATTTTCGAGATACAGGTTTTGTTGGGTGGCTCTGGTTGGCATTACATTTTGCGTCATTTGCCGTGGTTAGTTGGTAGTTTGGGCGTTTGTGTCTTTGACGTTTTTGTTGTTATTCAACACTTCTATTATGATCGCCTACACCGCAACAAAGACTTGACAGAACAAGAAGGGTTATTGGAAGACATAGACTGATATAATTGTGATTTTGGTTCATGTAGCAGATAAACTGCGCAGAAAAATACTGTGTTGAATCTCATTTGTCTTTGTAATAATTTGTGTTATAAAGTCTTATATTTTACGTTAACATAATCATTTGCTTAGTATTTTCGTGGAGAAAGGTGCAGATTTTACTTCTAATCAGTCTTTAGGAGAAATGACAAATATGTATACCACTGATTTTTGCCAAGCAGCTTAGTAATTTTCCTTACCTTCTTTTATTTTTACAGTGCTGTATGTACTAGTAACGTCAGTATCTGACTGTATGTAGATATCCTTCGTTTCGTTATTCGATTAAGCTTTTCAACACAAAGTAATACTTTATATTTGTATGTCGAAACATAATAATTCTCTATATTTGTTTAAAGCTTATTATATTCCAAGCAAGCTAATTTCTTTCTTCAGCCATATTGTCGAACTGCATCTTTCGAGAACATTCAGTTTTGATATTAATAGTTCACTAGGTTCTCATATTCTATTCATCAGAATATCCTGTATGTTAACAGTCTTAAAATTTCTTTTCTGATCATTATAGTATGTAATTAATTTTATGTATTGCTTTCTCGAATTTTATCTTCTACACTCGATTTCATATTCATGTTTTGGATGAAAAATTTGTGCGATATTATTATTCCCAACCATCAGAAAACCCAGTTTTATCTTTCCAAATCAGCCATATTGTCGAAACGCATCTTTCAAGAAGATTCATTGTATCCTACCAGCGATAGAAGCTTTGAGGAGATCACGTCGCATACCCTTTATCATGTTATCGCATTTGTGCTAAGTGAATTCATCGCAGATTATTTAACAGAGAGGATGCTTGATGTAAGACGGAGCAGTCTGTGTAAATTTATGTGATTTGGGATGGCTAGATTTGAATGACGCTGGAATTGGAACATTTGTTTCCCTTTTTTTATATCTGCACCCTGAAAACAATACTGTTCTTAGATATTTATTTATCTGTTTCATCGCAGTTTGTTGCAGGCTCGTGTTCGAAAGTTCTTACTCTACTTTGTCATAAAAATTACTCTTTTCAACGAAGAAACGCATTCGTAGGAACCTGATATGACGCTTGACAAGACTGTTAGATGTCTTTTGATCCGGAGCATTTATTTAAGGTTGAAGGCTCTGTGAACTGTTACGTCTTAAATGAGATTTACAAATAAATGGTTGCTATTTTTCACTAATGACATTGAGATGCATGTCCAGTGCGTCATTTGAATTTTAGTTTTTACAGGACGTCCGTATTTTATGAATTTCTGCTTAATTTGGGATAGTATTTCTTCGCAGATCTGAATATATGCATGTGAACTTTTAAAGTCTAATTCCTTATTATATCATGTGTAGGATGGTAAATAGTGCTACAAATGATGCTGAAGATTTTTCAAATTGAATTTGGGAAAATGTTGTTGCACACTACGTGTTGGTTTATTACTATGGGGCGAAAGAAGTATCTGTAGGTTACAATTGTGCAGTGTGATGTGTCATGAGAAAAGTGGTTTAGGAGTTCAGTATGTGTAGTTAGGGAGTAGTTGAGGAGGTTGTAAAGACTTTAATTTTTGTCATTTGGATTTTTAGGATTAATTCCAAGTACAGAAAAAACTGTCTTTAATAAACTAGGCATAAACGTTTAGTTTATGATCTAACTCATAGATTGCTTGTCGAGTACTCGCTTTTTCATTCCATTTGAATTGAAAAAGCTAATATCTAGCAAGCAATCTAATAGTTAGATCATAAGGTGTTTTGGAATTAAAGAAACTAATTGCGTGTAACTTTTTTACCTCCTGCCCCTTAAATTCATTAAACGGATCTACCTTTCCAACATTGTAGACCTTTTAATATATAGCAATTATCCTCTAGTATTCATTGTTCTAGCAGTTATGGGGGATGTACCGCAGTTTATATTGTATGAACATGCTATTGGTTATGTTCTGTTTCGCGTGAAAGAATTTGAAGAAATCGGAATGGCTATTCCTCAGGTCCTTTTTTTTCTGGCATGTTAGGTTGTCGAAATTTTCCTCTACGAAATTTCGGGTTTTTGTAAAAATTTTATTATAAATTATACCAGTCTGATTTATTTTAGGTCGAAGAGTCCATACATGATGCACAGAGATTTTGTTCGTACATTAAGCTCGAAGCTTTCGAACCTTTTAAGAATACTGAGTCCGCTTTAGAAAATTGTAGCAGTGTTTCAGAAGGTTAGGCGTCCTTTCTACATTCTTTGAGTTTCTGTTGCTAATTCGGAGGGTACTCAGCATCTCAATATTTCTAAATGGCAACATTTTTATGTTACTTTGTTGTTCCGTATATTATGTTATGTGTGATAGATAATTTAATTTTTTTAGAACTTAGTGACGTCATTTCAGATTGTTTCTTTTTCAGGTTTGCTTCATTCGGATTTGCTAAACTTTTTGGAAGCCAATTTGCGGAAGAGGAAGAAGAAAACAGTTACACTTGGTATCAATGATCCAAAATTAATTAGTGCTATAAATGAACAAATCAGTAATGTAAAATGCCAGCTTTCGGGAGCTGTTCCTGAATTGTTGCGTGGTATTCGCATACACTTTGGTTATCTCGTGAAAGAGTTACCTCATCATTCGCTCTCCAAAGCGCAACTTGCTCTTGGGCATGGTTATTCAAGAAGAAAGGTCAGTATATAAATTTATAATTTAATTCTAGTAAGATTCCTTTCGTCTGCTTTCTAAAATGTTTGCTGTGGAGAAGCTGTATCTATCTCGAATTTCCATTAAGGTCAAATTCGATATCCATCGAGTAGATAACATGGTTATTCAGTCTATTGCGCTCTTGGATCAGCTTGATAAAGATATAAACCTTTTTGGGATGAGGATTCGTGAATGGTTAGAGTTTAATAAATATCAGTGTTTTTTAGCGTGTTGCTAACTATTTTTGGCAGAACTAAGTGCTTCTTTGCTCTTAATTTTCACAAATTGTAAATTGCAGGTATTCTTATCATTTTCCTGAGCTTTACAAAGTTATTCCTGATCAGTTGAGTTATGTAGAATGCGCTTCCATTATAATGGATCGCAAAAGTTTGAATGATGAAACAGTCCACTGCTTGAAAGGTTCGTTTTGAGTTTGTGAGTTATCCTTGATCTCTGACTCAAGATTCATGAAGACACTAATCATTCTTTCACTGTCTTTACATCAAGTTTCTTGTTCTCGCAGCTAATGTGGTATTTTCGTGATATTAGCACATTAATTGTTGCTGGATTCGTAGAGATCTGCATTATATTCATTTGTTTTACTTCATTAAAAAAACTGTTTCATCTGGTTTGTTTTAATTTTTTTCTTACATAGTAGAGAAATAAAAAGTCTCGGCAGTTTTATATGACGAGTCTTATTTAGTGAAAGCACCTTTGAGCGTTTAATGTCCTGAAGATCGTGATTCTGGTAGATGGTTATATTATTTTTAAAGTTTAACCTTCAAATTAAAGCTCCAATTTTTGATCTATGTGGAATGGACAGATAAATATAACAAAGCAACGCGGAAGTATATATATCTTCAGAAAAATTATTGGACTATACAGTGAGTTCCAAAACGAGTTTCGCTTTTAGAAATCCTGAATGATGATGATAAAGTATGTGAAGTAGTAGAAGCCGCTCGTACTTCGATGGGTATGGATATTTCTAGTCTTGATTTGCTTAATGTTGAGCGTTTTGCGAAACGTGTTAGAGAATTAACGCAATATCGACAAGATCTTCATGAATATATCAAACAACGAATGCATTCATGCGCTCCATCACTTTCAGCATTAATCGGAGAACAAGTAGGAAATCTGGATTTTTGAATTTATCATGATACACTAGAGAATTTATGTATGTAATATTTCCATATTTATCAGTTTTTTTGGTGGAAACATTTTGCAGTATAATTTTCTGTCGTATTTTTCTCAGCTTCATTTCCTCAAGTTTCACTTTCTGAATGACAAAATTTCGAGGTTGGTGCTCGTCTGATTTCACATGCGGGTAGTTTAACCAATTTAGCAAAATATCCAGCATCGACAGTTCAGATACTTGGAGCGGAAAAGGCACTTTTTCGAGCTTTGAAAACACGATGTATGTTTATTCATTATAATGAATGCATTCACGCCTGTTCTGATTACGTTACATGACTTATTTGCTTTTGTTGTGATATCTGTACTGAATCTATGATCCGTTTCATGAAGCATGTACTTTGCAGCAAATACACCGAAATATGGACTCCTGTTCCATTCTTCATTTATTGGTCGTGCATCTACGAAAAATAAAGGACGAATATCACGTTTTCTGGCGAATAAATGCACAGTTGCGTCTCGTATTGACTGCTTTTCGGAAGTACCGGTATCTACATTTGGTGAACACCTAAAGCAACAGGTTAGTTATGTGGATAGCGGGAATTCGACTAGTTTCTGTTTTTGGGAAGAAATTGCATTTGACCATTTATTAAAATCAGAATGTACAAGCTTTTGCCTAATAGATTTTCAATCTTGTTTTTTTCTCTTTATTTTTGAAGCAGGTTTGTTCTTTGTAGAAATTGATAAAAAGTAGATATACATACGTAATGATTTATAATTTTCCGTTTGAGGTGGAAGATCGTTTGACATTTTTGGAAAATGGTGTGATTCCTAAGAAGAATTTGGATGTAATGAAAGAAGCAATAGAGGAGGCTAATACAGTACAAATAAAAGTATGATCGTTTTGATTTATCAGTAGTTGTTCGTGAGAAATACTTTTGTTAAGGTTAATTGTTTTTCAGATCTTAAAGAAACGAAAAAAAGAAGCAAAAAGAGCAAGGAAAGCTGCAGAGCGAAGTGAAGAATTTGATGCTACTCAAAAGTCAGTGCTGGGTGCTGATAAAATGGAACTGAAAAATGAAATTGCCAGCAAAGTACGTTTGTATGTTCCGGAAATTAGATACATGGTTTAATTTTAAACATGCAATATTTCCAAATCTTATTAAACTGTATTGCATGTTTTGAAATTGAAAATCACGAATGTTTAAATCCTTTGGCTTAAAATTTGAGTCATTTCGGTCTTGTATTGCGTTTATAAGACTTTTTATGTATGTGTTTTTTAGAAGCTGAAGAAGCAGAAATATACCATGGAGGAAGTTGTAGATGCTCAGGAAGGAAATGATGATGACATGGTTGTCAAGAAGGCCAAAAGAAAAAGGAAAAATGAAATCTTAAATGCACCTGATGATTCTACTGATTTAATGGAAACGTCAGGTATTTCTTCGCTCCACAAATTTATTTTTGGAATGTAAAAAGTTGGATAGCCTACATTTTGTTATTAAAATTTAGGATTGTTACTTTCTAGAGGTGGAATTTATTAGTTGTTGCATCTCTTTTCTTGAAATTAATCGTGAAACCGATTGTGTGTAGCGAAATTTGACCAGATGTGTTAAGATTGAAAAGAGTGGATGAGATATGGCGACATCGTATTAAATATATTTGTGCATCAAATGATATCTCAGAGGAGTTACAAATGAGAAAATGAAAAATCATTTGGGGACGGAGGATAGTGTCGTATAATAAAGAAATTTATTTTCTGAAAATTATGAGATTGGATGAGCTTATGAGATGGTGTTTGTATGGTGGGATACAAATTTGTAATTGTCGTAAACGATTTATAAGTTTTAATTATCTTGTTCCAGCTCTGGACAATGAAGGAAGCTCTAAGAAGAAGAAAAAAAAAAGAAAAGATTTAAAGTTAAATGGAAGTAATGCTGATTTTGTGGTACCTGTCGATGATGCATTTCTGTCCCTGAATAAAAGTGGTGAGCATAAAAAGAAAAAAAAGAAGCAGAAGAATGAGTGAATACTATATTGTTTGAGCGTTGGATCTCTCTCTATGTTGATGGCTTTCTGTTCTAGCTATTGTTAATTTTGTTTCTTGGAGAATTGTGTTGTTGGATATTTGATGTAGGGATCTATGAATGTTCAGTATCCATTTTTGTGATATTGCGTTCGTATTGGTATGATTGTGGATGATCGCAGTCAGGGCTTATATTAGAAGAAAACTAGCAAATTTCGTCACTTATTATTGTTAATTTTGTTTCACTAAATCGTTAATGTATTCCTAAAGAACTAGTTTTGTCACTTGTTTTTGTTGATTAAGCGTTATTGTGACTATCCTGTAGAGCAGAAGTAAATTTATTATCAAGGACATGCTATAATAGTACACAATTTATGCATGAACAGATCAGCATTGTTCGTCAAATCTTCGTTAGATTTTCACTATTGGAAAGAATGAATATTACGCAGAAGAATAATTTAGATCATAGTTTATGCATAGTACCCAAGAACATTGTTGATTTAAGATACTGAAGGGGCATTCATTGTATCCTTTAAACTGATATGGGGCAATTTGCGGTTACCATTATAGGCTTTCATACTCTTATGAAAGTGTTTTACATAAGTGTGTGGTATTTTTGACTGGGAATGCTGGTCATGTTGACTGGCTTCACTGTTTTATAGAATGAAAGGACCTACATTCCATGACGTCTTAAGCACGGGATTTCGTTTACAGTCATTGATCCTACATAGCAGGATGCAGCTCTACTTTTGTCGGTAAAGTGAATGACTAGTATCTCTTGGCATATTTGTACTTAATAGTGGTAATGCGGTAGTTCTTTTCGTTGGTTACAGAAAGTGAATGGTAGTGCGTGATCTTGCTGCGCAATGTATGTGACCTATCTGCAGTGCAATAGGGCACAATTCATTCATGGGTAACTTAAGCTATGCTACAATTTGTATGCTATTGGAAAGCTAATCATTCATGCTTAAACGAACTAATCGTTGTTATACGGGCATAGAGTATGGAACCCTTGAATGCCTCACTTGTGGCAAAAAATATTTATAGCTCTGCAGAACTAGTATGTGGCTAACTGGCTGGGACTTTTTTCCTTATTTTTTTCCTCACACTTGGACTACAATCAATATGAAGTGAAAATGAAAGGCTCCTGATTGTATTCATTCAAACATGCGAACAGCATCGAGGGCTCACTTATGTTTTGTATTTGCCTAAGGTCATATTCAAGTACTGATCTGATCTATTTGCTAGCTTTCACATATTGCATCTTTCTCAATTCGTTTCTTAGTTGCAATCAATCCAAAAGTGGTCAAGAAAAGATGCTTGCCAGTCTTTCCATGTTTTCTATTGCACTGCATTGTTTGCTTGTAATTGCTATCTGATTAATCAGAATTTTGTTATTCTTGCAACTTTGATTGATACATTTGCTTAGTTCATAGTCAGACTAACATTCTTTTCATATTTCTCTAAATCTTTCTTATGCCTTTTTATAACTCTCACTGCGCTGCCAATTTTGCACATTTATAGTGCAAATTAACTCCCATTTGGAATCATACATTCTTGTAATGGTAATGTGAATAATTATAGAATTGTCGGAATACTTTTAGACGTTCACCGCGCTAACATGCATATTTGTTCACGTATGTCAATCACTCTAGCAAAGATAATGTTCGCACATATTGTACTGTGATAAAATTGACGAAGCTACGATAATTTATATAGACATTGCTTGTATTTAAGTCCCAAAAATAATTAAGTGTTGAGTACGTCTTGGGTAATATTGTTGGGTAACTGCGATAATCTTATTCCTTGCATATCTCTAGTAGTAGTACTGATGGTTTGGTCATCGGGAACAGGATGATACATGTGACAAAACAATCTTGGCACATCCAGCCGAAAAAGCATTGTCTTCTAGATTGAGAAGGTAAATGTTATTCATTCCTGTTTTTTAAACTTTTAATAACTTACAACTTCAGTTTGCTTTTATGTACTGATTGCAAATGTAACATTCATCAGCTTGATTATCACTGATTGCATCTTACACAGATTGCACTCAAAACTATTTAATTTAATAAATTTCATTCAAGTCATTTAAACCGATACAATTTTACAATTTTTGGCAGTCTATTGAATTTTTGAGACAGCTTCATAAAGTTGGCTTCAAAGTCAAACTTACAGTAAAGTTTGCTTCAAAATTCATGAAGTTTGCTTCAACTTACAGTAAAGTTTGCTTCAAAGTCAAACTTTGATTCGAATAAAAAGATCTTCTACTCACTGACAATCGATACTAACTTTAAATTTTAATTAGTTTAACATTCATTTACTTTTACCTTTTTCTGTACCTTTTTATTCCATAAAATCACTGCTTCACTTCCAAACATATGATAAATGAATGTCTCCCTTTCATCGGCTGAATTAAACTTTCATTTCTTCAGTGTTAAGAGTTTTCAGTTACTACCTTTGTTTGGGACACCTTTTGAAATTAGGTTGGTAGTTTCTTTGTAAAACTACAGATCCTGTTCCTCCCCATCTAGGCAAATTCTTTTTACTATTTTGTATGGGTCTTAATGCAAGGAGGTGCTTTTTTTGATAAAAAGTTATAGACTCAATCAGGCCCTGCCGCCCTTGAACTGGGCAATTGAGAAATTATCTTTCCAAATTTAGCTTCAGATAAGAGATAGTATCATGCACTTCATAATCTGGATCGAATTCTTACAGATATTCGTTGTGATGAATTTTTTCCTTTCCGTAAGTTCCACATCGTACACTAAAAATCTCTGATTTCTTCTGTGTCTACATCGTGGCTGATAGGCTATTCTTCGGTCAAATTCCTATAAGAAACGTCTTCTGAAAGCTCAGATTTGACATTTTGGATGTTGAATGCATACGTTTCTGTTTACCACAAAATTAAAAAGGGGCTAAAATTATGAAACAACGCAAAGGCTTTGATCGCATTTTTTTGCCTTCAATTATTTTTTAGACCAACTTAGTTATGTTGGAAAAACTGAAGACTATTTTTAATTTGACTCAATATTTTTTCGAAAGATTTCGGAGAAATTGCACTTTAGTTACTGTTAATTATTGAAAGCTGAATTAGTTATTCTTTTACCTGAACATGACTGTATTTAGGCAGGAAAGATCAAAGTTGGCGAAATCTGTACGATATTATGGCTGTACAATCGGTAAATCTTTACCATTCTTATGTTTCGTTAGAGTGAGTATTTTTCAAAAACAAAAATTTTACTTTAGCTTCTGTATTAATTGGGCTATCATATTACGCGCGCTGAAAGCATATGCAAATTACTCTCAAAAAAACTCCAAAATAAAATTATGAGATTTTTGAAAACTTCAAATTATTTTTATTGATGCCTAATTTCCGTCCTTTCAGCACTTGAATGCTCAATGTTCCACTTTTATTAGCATAAACATTTAGTGTTGAAATTAGCTCTTCAAAATTAATTTTTATAATATAGGATGGAAAGTCTTAAGACGCGATACACGCTGATTTAGACCATGTAAGAGATTTTTGACAATCTAGCACTCCGTATAAAATTCGAAATCACCCAACTAAATAACTTGAAGGAGGCAAAAAGCTGAGGAAAAGGAATGTGGTATTATTTACTGCCTAAGAAATAAATGTGATCATAATTTCACTTTAAGAAACTGATGTAGCGATAATATAAAACATTTATTTTCTTGAAATGGAAACCGTTTATTTGCAACAAGAACTTATAATGTCTTAACATTTTCTAGGGCAGTCGAATACCGGAGCATACATCAGATTATCGAGTAGCTGTTTTTGGTGCTGGAGGTGTGGGGAAATCCTCCATTGTATTGCGTTTTATTAAAGGGACATTTAATGAAAATTATGTTCCGACTATCGAAGACACCTATCGACAGGTATTTTACATATATATTTCTTTATTTAAAATGTGGAGGTTAGTTTTAATTTTCGCTTCATTGGTTTTGGCGCTGGATCGCATTGCGGCACTCTGTCAGTACTTGTCCCGCGCTCAGATTTGTTATACTCTTCGTTCTCGCTTCGTTCTCGTGGAATCCATGTCAACTATCAAAGGAGATGCTTTCGAGCGTCTTCTTGAGAACTATCGATTGAACATATGCTTCGACGGGGTCAGATATACTAATCTCCTTCGCATAGAGTTTGTGGAAGTTGTTGCAATCTCATCCCAAGTTACCACATACGGCATTATTTTGGTCCTGCATTTCATCTCTGACCTAAGCTTATTAGCAAGCAGGTCATATTTTCGCTTTTTCTCGGTCTCGACTGCTGATGTAATAATTTATTAGACGTATGGCATGCTGATTCACAGCTTTGATAAAGTTCTTGCCATTTAGCGTAGTTTTGGCTAAACGCTTAATTCTCACTAAAATCTCTGCACGGACTTTATCGTAGCTTTCACGGGTAGATGCACTAGTCCTGTTTTCCACTATTCCAAGGTATTTGTATTTGTACCCTTGAGTTCTTTCCAATAGCGCCGCTTTATCAGCGTATACCTCGATATTATTGGCTGACTTTGCTGAATTTACTTCTAGTGCTACCACATCAAGAAACCTTTCAACATCTTCTGCCATAAATTTCACGATATCCTCGTCGGTCGCAAAGATCTTGAGATCGTCCACGAACAACAAATGATTCGTTAATGTGCATACCTTGATCAGTTGGAACCGCCACCTTTGGGTACCTTATATTGAGCTGACGACTCAACAGATCCATTCACAGGACGAATAGCAGCGGAGAAAGGCTATCACCTTGGAGAATTCCTCGTTCTATTTACTTCTCCATTGCTTTTCAATGTAACCGACCACCTGGAGGTGATGCTTCTCATAAACCTGTTGATCCACGAAGGCATGTTAAGCTTTTCAATGCACTTAATCAGGCATTCGTGATTAACTGAATCGAATGCTTTTTTTTAATGTCATACCACGCAGTGTAAAGTTGGTTTCCGTTCTCTTTGCAAACCGCCAGGTTCTACCTTGCTTGTTCCTTTGCACCTTG